GCGATGGCGTGCCCTCGCCTCCCAGCCTCAGCTGCTGCCTCCCCGCGCGGTGAGCAGCAGCTTCCCAGTTCCTCCCCAGCCGTCACACTGGTGTCAAGCGAATGCCATGCAGACAGCTGGCGTACCAACACTCTCCTCATCTACCGCATTTGTCATCTCATTAAAAAAAAAAGTCAATCTTATCTACTGGTCCTACTTTCCATACCCGCAAGTTGATTGACACTAATTAGAATACATTCTAATTAATTATTCATTAATCAAGTCTCATATCAGCTGGCCCGTTATCGTGCCTGGGATCAGGGACGTGCCAACGGCCGGGACTCACCCGCGCCGTAGCAAGCGGTCCCCCGGTGCCGGCACAAGCCTGCTTTGCTCCAGCCCCGCTTTTTTTTTCAGCCAGGCAGCACCCGCAGCACCAGGCACGGGCGGCCCCAGCTGCAGGCTGCGAAGCACGGCACCAGCCCTCACCTCCACCGCCCAAAGACCACCGCGCCCACCAGCACCCACCAGCACCCACCCGCACCCACCAGCACCCACCGCGGCAGCGCCCGCTCCGCCCGCGACGGCAGGGAACGCGACGACTGCGGTGCGCTAAGTCCGAGAGACAAGAGACGGGTCAGCCATCCTGAACTAGCTTACCTGTAAAAATTAAGGTAACTAACAAACACAAATAATGCAATTTCTGGTGATGTCCAGAAAAATACGGCAATTCAGCAGTACAAATCACCTGGCCAGCACACGGCACCAACACTGACTGGGAGCGACCAGTCAAGCCACCCTACCTCTCCTCTAAAAACACGTGTCAGGGACAGGAGAGGTTCATCTATCTTTTTACCACTGTTTTAGGCGGAAAAGGGCAAAACTTAATTCTGGAGGAAAAAAAAAGAGAATTTTTACAGGCAGTCCAGTGCAGGAGCCAGAGAAAAAAAAAAAATCTCTTCTTGCTATCTGACTATGATTTCAAATGAACAAACTGCAAAAAGTGACGGCCAGTATCATAGGGTTAATTTATATCAAGGTAATTATAATTTTTCTATGGGGAAAAAAGCAAATGCCACTCCCATGCTGTCTGGATCTTCTCCAGGGCAGCAATCTGCTTTACCCCAGCGAATTTGCTGGCAGGACTCTTCAAGCCATATTCACAGGACACCACAAGAGCACAAGCTTCTTTTAATAATTGGTGGCACAGTGCTGAACAGCCGCACAAGCATTTTGGGATAAAGCATGAAAGAAAATTCTCTTGAGGCAATTTCTGCCACACAATGTCTCCAGATAGCATTGTAGGGCTCTGCACATCCCGAAGAAGAGATGTGGAATAAACCTAGCCCACCCTGGGGGAAAAAAGAATGTATTAAAAATATTCAGACTGACTCTCTGTTTTGCAAGTGAAAAAAAAAAAAATCAAACAGGAGTAAATTTTTGCCAGGTTCTTGTGTCACTAACATCAACAGCTACTCCAGAATGAGGACAACGGGCAGGCGAAGCCACCGGGCTGCAGTTCGAGCAGGACCTACTGCGATGGCGACGCTACAGACCTCCATCGCGGGAGGAGAAGCGCAGTTCATTGCCCTGTTGGCTGCTGGGGCTCAGGGGACGATCGCTGTCACCCCTTCGTAGCAGCAGGCCCAGGAAAGTCACCGACTCCGAGGCAAAGGCGCCCAGCTCAGACCCCACACGGGACGCGGCCAGGCCCTCAGTCCACGAGGCCAAGGAGTGACCAGGACCTGCCCCAGCCAGCCGCTGAGCTGCCCACGCTGCTGCCGCAGAGCTGGAAGAACACGCGACGTAACCCGAACAAAACCAATGTTTGTACTGTAGATGTTTTAAAGTTTGATATAGTAGAATGGCTTAAACAGACTTGGAAATCCAGCCTGGTGTTACACTAATTACTCTTAATGAATTCACCAAACTGTGCAAACTGCTGAGTCTGTACCATAAAAACCTTCTGTGAATACCAGGCACTGGGATCCACAAGGCTTCAGCGCGTCCTTGGAAGCCAGGATTCTCATCGCAGCTCTCAGCCCAGGGGCAGTCTGTAAGCAAAGGAACATCACCGATGTAAAACCACTGCTGGGATATCCACTGCGGGCCTGAAACCCCCCCGCTGCCACTACTGGGAATAGACCTGGGTTCATCTAGATGTGTACTTATTTAAAAAGCATTGTTCTTTTTGCAGACATTTAAAAATGAACAATAAATTTAAACACTTCAAAAGAAAAGCCTTCGCACCACACCACTCCTGTGCGTTTCACTGTAGCGATGCCCTGTGGCTTTGTGTCTGAGCTTTGCTCCTGCAGAAGTCTGTGGGAACACAACAGGATTCTACAGAACGTTAAAAAGCATAGTTTTATCAGTGAGTAAACACACAGAAATGGCCTGATCTCTGAGCAAACAGACAGTTCTGATTAAAAGAAAAGGCACTAAAAACACCTCTAAAATGCTAAACTTCGCCATCTCAGATAAGAAACACTGCCATATGCTGCCACGTACCTTCACTCTCACTCTGCAATCCCAGGGATCAACAAAACATTGTCAGGAATTATTCAGTTAGCATGGACGATACTGCAGAGATCAGATTAATTAAAGCAATAAATCCCAAGCACGGATCAAAAGCATCCAGTACAGCTCCAGCAGGCCGAGCGAAAGGCGCGCAGCGCTGCCAAGACGACCTGCAAAGGTCCCGCCCGTCCAGCGCGGCTGGCAAGCCTCGAACGCTGGCAGCCAGAAACTTGAGGCTGGCACCGAATCCCCCGGGCCAGGTCGCGAGGACCGGCTGCCCGCGGCGCATTATATAAATATACATTAAAAATTAGAGGGAGAATGTGTATTGTAATTCCTTTTATATAGCATCTTCCTTGTCGCTCGAAAGGAAGTGGCACTCGGCATGTGAACGACAATCACAAGTGACGCTACTTTGGAAAACTAGCAAACCAGCGAGAAAGGTAAAGAACACCAGTATCGTCAGAGGAAACACAAATGTAGGCACAAGCAACCAAAAAAGCTCCAGAACAAACCTGTGGGACTCACTGCCAATGGATATTACCGAGAGTGAACATTAAATGGAGTTCAGAAAAATCTAGATACGTATCTAGGGGCTGAGATAAAACACTTCTTTCAGCTGGGTATCATGGAAGATGATAGAAACCCTTCCACATTAACACAGAAATACACTGCAGACTTTTCCTATGGACAAAGGTTTCCATAACAATCATTTCCGTGGGTTTTTTGTGCCTTCTGAAGCATCTGAACCTGGTAGACTACAGAAGAAAGAAAAACAAAATGGATGGACCGCTGGTCTGATCTCATATATCAGCCCCTAAATTTCTGAGTAATAAGATGAGACTTCACTGAAAAAAAATGAAAACTATTAAGCAAGTGGGAGAATCACATATTGAATAGGAAATGGAAACCTAGAAAGGTAGTAAAAGCTAGAGACCTTGGGGCTGGGTTGGACAGTAAATTAGAAATGAAAATGCAATAGAATTTGGCAGCAAAAAAGGTCAATGCAATTTGGAACTGTATGTGCCAAAACGTGCCGTCACAGAGCAGGGAGGATTGAGCCTATTACCAGTTCTCTAGATTTAAGCAGCTTGAATAAGTTTCAAGTAAATATCCAAACATTTGGATGCTTAACCAAATCAAACCTCAAAACCCTTTTGGAATTTCACTTTGATTTCCAACATCTTTATGTTTGGCCTCTTTTCTGAGAATTCAATCTGTTGTAAAAACGAATCTTTCAAGAGAAGCATCTGCAGTTGCCAAGAGACTATTGTGTTAAGCCCGAGGACGATCTAGCAGCCTCGCAAACTGGGAATTTGGAATTAGAAAAAATTGCTTTACTCTTAGTGGCAGCTACATTTGAGATGCCTGCGAACATGGATGTTGCTCCTCAGAACGTCCAGTTAGTTATTTCCCCCCAAACCCCAGCTATTTTACGTCAACAACGCTTTCTCCTGAGGCCCGCGACCCGGCCACGGGACAAAACACACCAATAAATAGAGAGAAGTCTCTAAACGAGGCACAAACTTTCCAAAGGCCCGGCAGCGACCGTCCCGTCGCCAGACCTCCATTTACTGCCGTTTACTGATCTGTAACGCAACGAAAAGCACGACCAAAGATCAACATTTCCCGCAGAGTTTTTCCTCTGAAACTCCAGGATCTGACAGACTGAGAGGGCAGTAAGCTTCAGAGCCATCAGCTGCCTCTAGAAGTGTCTTACTAATATGTGATGCCATAAGTATTTAAATATTATGGTGCAGTGAATAATAAGAATTATTTCTTCTTTGAATGTGTAGTTTCTGCACTCTTGTTGCTGCACTCTTTTTACAACCAAAATTACACCTTTCAGCTGCTCATTATCGTTTGATGTAACTAAATCTTCAATGTCAAGGAAGTTAAAATCACTTCATCCTCAACATTCACTAGTAATTTTCTCTGAAGAAGGCAGAAATCTATTTGGCCTGACCTAATGATGGAGCTACGAGGTTTTCTTCAAGCTGCCTGCCAAGCCAGACATCTTTACTTCGTGCGCTCTGAAGCCACGTGAGAGAAGTTCCTCGCAAGTGCTCATCACCGCTCAGGAGGCTTCCAAGCGACGCGCCGTGTGAGCTAAGCCCCGCGCTGAGCCCCGGCGGCTTCTCACAGGCGGCCTCGGACCGGGACGGAGACGCTTCCCGTTACTTCCCCTGAAGGCTACAGGGACGCGTTTTTCCAGGCATTTCACTCACAGACCAAGCAGCAAATGCAGCCGGCTGTCAACAGGGTGTTTCCCACGAGCACGCAGAAAACACTACGGCGGGATTTATCGAGGAGATCATTTTTAAAAGCTCCAGCTGGGGAAGGACAGCGAACGCCGCTGTCCCTTCACAGGGAACAGGCGCTGTGGAACCCGGAGCGGAGGGAGCGCGGGCAGGTCCCCACCGCCACCACCTTTGCCCAGCTGTCGGCTGCTGCTCCGAAACAGAGCAGAACTGCGTCACGCAGACTTGCACAGGAGAGTTCAAGACAGCAGTGGGTTTGGCAGGAGAGGTCTGAGCAGGACGGAGAGCTGGGACTGCCCTACAAATCAGCGGCACGGGCCCCACGGCCTGTGAAAGCCGCAGGAATGATGTGGGGCTTTGCCCGATGACCCAGCAGGCTTTGAAGGTGTGAGGCTCACGGTTTCCAAAGCCCCTTAAAGCCTCCACAGCCTCACTCCACCGCTGCTGTTCTTGCTCTCTTTCATCCACTTTGTAAGAAACCCACAATTATTTCTTGCTGGTCGAACTCTCTTAATTTTCCTCTTGTTCCTTTTGACCTAAACCACAGGTTAACTGAGACCCAAATTATGTCTGTTGGATACAGCAAAGTGCGCAGAAGTAACCTTAAAAAATGGGAGATTTTTTTAAAGATCAAACAGGCTTGATGTTGCTAGTTATGCTCAGTCTTTAATTCTTGGTCACTGCACCAATAAATTAAAGGTTCAGATAAATGTACTCTTTTCTGGGTTCTTGGAAGATGGCAACAAGAACCTGAGAAATGTATTATCCTGCTCAGTACAATAATAAATGGAAATTCACATTTGGCATCAAACTACTGGAAAAGAAAATGATGCTGAAAGAACTCCTGCTCAGAATTGCCCCAAAGTGTTTACCCTCACTCCACGCCAGCCGTGCAGACAGCTAATGAGGATGCTAGGAAGGTTTGCTGACTATTACAGAACAGTCTGAAGTACCTTAAATTGCCCCAGATGGCGAGAGTTGGGCTATGATGTCAACAGAAAGGTCAGAAATAATGGGACTCTGCCACTGAGCCATTCACAAAAACGCCGAGCAAACTCGGGGGCAGCTCCCCGTCCCACCAGGAAAACCAAGTGGGCTCCGTTCCCCGACTCCGCACCGGGATGGCTCCGGAGGGTCCCGCTCCGGGCACTGCACGCGGGCGCGGCTGAGCACCCGCAGCTGCAAGCTCCGTGTTAGGGGTCTGCCCAGTAAAAACTCCACACAGGTCACAACACTGAGCTTGCGGTGGAAATCAGAACGAAGATGATTAACAATGAGGATGCCAATCCTAACAACAAAAAAAAGGTTATTGTTCAGTAGGAAGGACTGACTAGAGTGTGTTACAAGTTAATTTTTAAAACAATTACAGTGAAATAATGCCGGTTGCTATACTAATTGGAGTGAGACAGGCAGGAAATTAAAAACAAAGGTTTGTGCATGAAGTCATCTCCTACCCATGCAATGTCTGTTCATTACGGAGTCAAACAAATGGGAGCTTTTCAGGCCCTCAGGTGGTGTAAATTGACAGCCCTGCCATTTGTTTCAGTGTAATGATACCTGTTTACACCAACAGAGAAAACGTGGCTTGAAGTCCTCTTCCTTGTATTTAATCTTCTGGCTTTCGCTAATGCATCAAAAGACATTTTCACAAAAAAATACCCCTGCTAATTCTATCAGGCTGCCTTCAGAGGCTAGAAGCACTGAGTCTGATTATTATCTTGGCTAAGTTGGTATAAAATCGGAGGCGCCCGCTGCTCCGGTGGCAATCCCCTGAACTTCTGCCGCGCAGCGCAGATAATCCTCTGACAGCCCTCCAGGCTGCTTTCCCAGCTGAGAGCCCACACCGAAACGCCAACGAAGGGCAAGCGCTGCTGGCTGCCTTCACGCTGAAAATCCACCTAGTTCTGGTGGATCTAGCCCCGCTTCCTATTCCCAGACCCCAAAATAATAGCTTTTTCTCTGCAAAGCTTCACACTGGCGATCAATCTGTAAATTGGAGACGTAACCAAACATCTACCCTTTAGATACACCTTCGAACGAGACTTTATAAATCCCACATTTATGACAGAGGGAACTCGGTTCTTTTTTTTGCATTTAAAACTCCAGTCATCCATTTATTCATTCCATTATTTCTTCCATGTAAGCCCCTGAGCAGTCATGTAGATCTTTAAAAATAATTTGAATCATCCTATTTCAGTGCTTGAGCACAATTATTTCAGAATCAAATAAACCAGGAAATGGAGCAGGTGAAAGGAAATGGCCCACACATTCCTGGGTGTAAGCGGTGATGGAAACACCGAGCAGCAAAGCCAGGCGCATGGGGCTGGGCAGGGCAAGGCAGGGCAGGGCAGGGCAGGGGAGGGCAGGGAGGGCTGGCTGCAGGCAGCAGAACCTTCAGCCAGGCAGCCCCGGGCAGCGGGGCCAGCTCACAGGCCGCGGGGATCAACTCCTGCGTCTCCCCCCGAGAAGCTGCGTATCTCGGCACCCCCATGGGACCTGCCAGTACGAAGCAGGCAGTCTGCAGCAGAGCAAGGATAAGCAGCAGGCTGGTGACTGCCTCGCCTGTGGCTGCTGTGCTGCTGCTTCGTGCAGCTGACGACCCAGCACACAAGAGATGGTTTGTAAGCAAGGCTGTCTAGACCGGGCTGGAAGACCTGCGTCGTGCAGCAGCAGTGATACAGCCGACGATGGCCTCGGCAGGAGCAAAAGGAGTGACAATATGGATCTGCAATGCCAGGGAGCGCTGGCACGCAGCCGGGATTTCAGAAGAGCAATTAACTGGAATTTGTATTAGTTAGGGGAATCACAAACCTTTTTAAAACATGCTTATCATACACAAACGTGAAGTGCCGTCTACTCCACGGTTACACACCGGGGTTCGTAGCGGTGCCGCAGAGACACAATCCTGCCATCCCGGAGCACGCCCATCTGCTCTGGTATGGAAATCTCACCGAAGCACATGCTAGGGAAACACAGCATATGGTTACCTTCAGTCAAAAAACAGCGACGCTGCAAAGCGAGCCGAGCCTCCCTCCGCAGTCACTATGATACATTCAGAGACAAATCCACCACGGTCCCCGTCCCCTTTCATTCAGTCGGAGGTTTCTGGAAGACACAAGCTGCGAGGTGCCTGCAGCGTGCGACGGAGCGCCCACGGACACCCACACAGCGAACAAGCCACCCCACGTTTCCCAAAGATCAGCCCCGGAGTCTGTCCAAAGGCTGCCGAGGGGCAGCGATCCCCACAGTGCTGGTGCCTGCCTTGGGCAGCACCGGAGGAGACAAGCTGAAAACTGCCTTTAGACCTATTTCTGCCCAGTTTAAGTACATGCTCCACCTGAGGTTCGCGTTTCAGGCTCACGGGCACCACGGTCACCAGAAGCTCGACGCATATTTACATCTGTCTCGTACAAGGTCTGCTGAGCCCTGTTCTGGCGCTGGGGCTCCTGCTTTCACCCAGCTCCAGAGCCCGGCTGGGGCTTTGGTCTGGAGGATGCTGGTTCTGGAGCAGCTTCACAGCGTGTATTTCTACAGCAGCCCTGGGCCCCATCCACGCTACCTGGTCCAGGGCAGGCGCAGCTGGCTGGGTGTGGGATGCTGTGCCCCGCATCGTCCCCACCGCCCTGCACCGCTGCCAGGGGAGTGGGGACAGGGACCTGCGAGCACCCAGGGAAAAGGATTTAAAGAAATTCACCACCTGCATGCCAACACACTCCTACCCCGGGGTGTACCATGCTCTGCTTCTGCCTCAGCTTCTTCAAATGCTGGCTTCAGCTTCACAGCCTTCCCCCTCTTGCTGCTGGAACAAGAAAGGTTGTTGAAGGGAGTGGCAGCAATTTTTTCACAGTGGCTTTCCACGCCAGGGTTGCTTTGCTAAACAACAACCACGAGTTGCTACAGCAGTGACTGCTCTTAGCCTCTGTTCTGCACTTCTGTTCTCCAGCCATGCCCACCACATCCCCGCAATCGCATTCAAGCGGTTCTTCAGATACACTACACATATCATTTTCTCTCCAGGAGCCCTGATGGCTTTGCAAGTTAATTAAAATAGAACTTCAAAGGCCTTTTGTAAGAGATTATATTATCTTTCGTTTCATGACATCTGTTAAAATTTACAACTAAGGATGTCATTTTTGGTGAAAAACATGTTGTTTCACACCCAGTCCATTTATTGGTGTATTTATTTAGTGACAGTGTCTCACTTATAAGAAACATGCAAAAGCAATCATTAATCATACTTTTGTCACAACACAGCTTCCACAGCAGTTAACCAAAAGTCACAAAGCTGCTCGAACGTGGGTGTTCTGAGAACCGTCAATGAAACCTCACAAACAAAGCTGACAGTCACCTCTTTTTTCAAAGTGTAGCTGAGATTTGGTAAAGAAAGCAAAAAAAAGAATTGGCAAATTAGACACTGGAGTTATTTGGGAAATATACAGCACTATTGGCCTATCGGGATGAGAAAGAAAAGTAAATCAAAACCAGTCAGTGCGGTCAGGATTTTCAGCGTATCAGAACATTTCGGGGATAAACTAAAAAGTGTTTTTATGTCACTGA